CTGCACTATTGGCTATTAACGTGCTCATCATCGCGTATACGATAATCATTCCACGTGCGTGCCGTCGCATTCTCGCGTTAGCCTACGTCGCGCATATCCACGTGCGTGATCATCCGTTGCGATATCATCCGAAGCTGCGACAGCATTCGTGCGCGAGATAGCTCTTACGCGATAGAGACTTTCACCGCGTTTAGGGTAACGCGATAACGATTTTTCCCCGGGGGCGATTAGAACACACAGTTTCCCGGATAATATTCCGCGGTACAACCGGGTGGTGCCGCGGAGTCACGCGATAACTTCTCGTTGCAGATAAAAGCACGCTCTCCGCGGGTGGAAATATGCTAATATAATCCGCACGTTTATCTTCCGTCAGCTAGACTTAAGAATGGCTAACTGGAAGATCTATCTAGATCGTGGGACGAACTTTCTAGAAACCCTTGCAGCGAGAAATATATCAATATGGTAATAATGAAGTATGCAGATACGTGAGCTCGAAAGAAATCGCAAATGTTGATATCCGCGATAAGTTTAACCGAAAGATCGAAATTAAGAAAAAAAAACTACAGAGGCAATCACAAAATCGAACTTAATTGAACCGAGGCTTAAGAGGATGCAGGAGTGAACGACGAACTTGATAATCGTGGATAACGTAGAATGATCATTAAAAAGTAGAAATCGTTATCATCATTTATCGACGATATCGAATTTATGTATACATAGATACTTATGGAATAAAGACGATCGTCAAATAGGCGCTAACACGATACCGCTATCATCTTTTCACAAATATTATGCAAGTGTGTGTGCTACGTTGACATTTCAATTTTCTTACACATAGACGTTACGTAAATGTAAATGCCGCGTTGCCGATATTCTTTCCAAAATAGGCTCTTGCTACTTTTCTGATGAATTTTTCAAACCGCTTGTGTATTGGGTGCATCAAAGAAAGAGTTTTTAGAGAAGAGTGTTGTAGGCGTAAGCGTAGTTTGCGAATAATTTTTTGAAAAATACGTTATCTATTATTTGAGTTTTCAATATAATTAGCAACGGTAATTTGAGATATTTTCATTTCGCACTGATCAATGTTACACTTTATTTTCGCACGTAATTTTATTATATAAATTGGAGCAGTCAGTATGCCGTAATTTTTGAAAAATGAAATCAATGTCACGATAGCAATAGTTTCACATCGTTTTCATCCTTGAGGCAGGAATGCCCTATTTCATTTATGCACATATTTTTACTATACAAAAGCATTTTTAATTTGGTCAAATTAACACAAAGTTTATTGGGAAATATCGTTAACATAATACCGAATACTTTTGCAAAACTATTGTCTCGTGTTGATTCGACAAAATTCGACAAAATTAAAAACCCTTATACATGGTGAAAGTGCATGCAAAAATGAAGCGGAGCATCCATCAATATGAGACGAAAACGATAAGGAACAGTTACTATCACGACATCGAATCTTTCTGCAAAATTTACTTATTTCTACCTCCATCAAATTAAAACCCTTTTGCATGGTGAAAGTACGTGCGAAAATGAAGCAAAGGATCTCTCAATACGAGACGAAAATGATAAGAAACAGTTACTATCACGTTATTGAATCTTTCTGCAAAGACTACCTCCGTCGAATGAAAAACACTTTTGCATGGTGAAAGTACGTGCGAAAATGAAGCGAGCATGCCACGTGATCCGGAAGACGATGCAGAGCGAAATAGTCAGACTTCACATCATTTTTTTTAAATATATCCTTTCGAATGCGAAAATTACTTTCAAAAACTGTAAAATAACATAGCAATACAATAACTGCATAATAACATGACCGATTTTTGGCCAATGCGCAAGAATTCGACATTCCTATAACGCTAAGTTGGGTCCAACATTATGAATGCGATTTTGGGAAATAGGAAAATTATTTTCAAGATTCTGGACGTATTACTGAGGAAATAGACAATAACACACATTGTAATCCGAGAGACGATGTAGAGCGAAATACGCACACCTGACGTCATTTCCAAAAATACATCTTTACAAACGCGAAAGTTACCTTAAAAGATTCTAAAAGATTATCCCAAAATGTGCTATGCATGCTAACACTATATGACCTAACCTGCAGTAACATGACCGACTTTCGGTCTATGCACAGGATAGGTACCACTGCGTATGCGCAAGAATCCGAATATACTGCTACGATAGATCTAACGTTATAGGCGCGATTTTAGAATACTGGAAAATTATTTTCAACATTCTGGGAGCGATACTGAGGGAGTAGAGTGACACCAACTCTTCCTGTCATTCAGGAGACGATGCAGAGTAAAATACGCACACTTGACGTCTTTTGCGAAACTGAACTCTCATGACTGCGAAAATTACTTTAAAAAACTGTAAAAAATTACCCAAGAATGTACTCTACATACTAACACTATATGACCTAATCTGAAGTAACATCGACTTTCGGCCCATGCGCAAAACAAGTACCACTGTGCATGCGCGAGAATCTGAATATACTGCTACGATAGATCTGTTATGAACGTTATGGGCGCGACTTTAGGATATTGACAAATTATTTTCACGATTCTGGGAGTGATACTGAGGGAATAGAATAACACTAACATTCTTTGTCATACAAGAGACAATGTAGAGCGAAGTGCGCACAGTTCACGTTATATTCGTAAATGCACCTTTGCAAACGCGAAAATTTCTTTAAGAAACTTTTAAAAATTAATCCCAGGCTTAACTAACTCGTCTTAATAAATTAGCAAAGCCTCAAAACATTTTGGTCCGAATCTCGGCTTAATAATTTAACGGGAAATCGATACGTTTCGGTTCGAGAAACGGTGTCGGCTTAAGAATTTAATTTGTTGTCTTTAATTTGTCGTCTTGTCAACAATAAACGCGTATGCATAAGAAAATATCTCCGAAAAGATAGTATGTCGTATATAATACGACATAACAAGTTATAGAATATATTAATCAAATATATATAGAATATACATAGGATATATATAAAACATATATAGAGCATAAAAAAATATATATAGCATATATAGAGCAAATAAATATGACATGTTGAAATATATCAGTTCAATGTATCATCAAGAAACAATCCGACGAGAAGGAAGCCTGCTGAGTCGAAATTTCAATTGACCATTGTTATGCAAGAATAATCCAATTAAAAAAATTATAAGCTTCTGTCAATGGATATTCCATTCACATCTTTTTAAAACAAACAAAAAGAACTCAAGCCTTATATATTCTTGAAAGAAATTAAGAAACAGTTATTTATTTTTTATCAGTCACGTCTTTTTGCACATTTTTCTAAGAATTGAGCTAGTCAGTACTCTTAAAGAAATGAAAATGCTTGACTCGTTGAACTATTGCGATAATCTCAGAGCTAAATTCTTTGGTTGGATCATTCTTACGTAACTCCGGCGAATTGCAAATTCCAATTCTTACTTTACTTCCCGTCGGACCCAATGCGATTTACGTTTACATGCATGCAACCTACGTAAAGTGACACTTTGTGTCTACTACATGAACGTCTAAATTGAGCGCTCACCATTGCGCGTCGTCCCACGCAGGGTCCACCAGCCATCCTGTCGCTACATCTGACACTGCTATGGTTCTCGTGTCCCACGTCGTCTGTAATTCACTCCCGACCGCGGTAATCTAACGGAGGTTTCACGAAAAATCCCGTCTCTCTTTGGGTTGCGAATTGCGTATAAAATATCGCGAACTGCATCTTCGAGGAAATGTCGGCCTTTCGGATAAACGACGAGTATGTGCGACGAATTCAGCAACGGTCGGGTCGAGTTGTAGTGCATCGCTTTGATACATGCGCGACGCGGATCTCTTACGAAGAAAACGGAATCCGCAAACGAAGGAAACACGCGATGAGAAAGCCGATCTCGCAAAATCTTTCGACGCGAGGGCGAAGTAATCTGTGCGAAATTCTCACGACATAGAATATCTCTAATGTAACGTTTCGATGGTGCAACGTAGTAAACTGCAATACAGCTCCGCAATATTTTTGCGGATATCAGCTCCGCAATACTTTTGCAAAGACAATTCCGCAATGTTTTTGCGGATAACAACTTCGCAATACTTTTGCAAAGACAATTCCGCAATATTTTTGCGGATAACAACTCCGTAACATTTCTGCAAAGTTTGCTCTCCCGCAAATACGCAAACATATCAAATTAATAATCGCGAAAAATCAAAAACTATGAAAATTGTGACGATAAAGATAAAGATTCTATTCAAAATTCACGCGAAAAAAATGTTACTACGTGAAACGTCTGTCTTCGTTCGATGGAACTTGTAGCGTGCCGCGTAAGTAAACAAATAACTGCTCGCATGTCTGACTTGTGTACATCGCGTTTTTCAAGATGGATCAACGCTCGCTAGCATTGTCTCTATTGTGTCCCGCGTTAGGAAACTATAACTCTAAATGAAAAATTAAAACCTGAATATTTTCCGACGATCGCGAAATTAATTTTGCGAGCAGTTTATATAATCACGTTAGATCGCTTCGCGCAGGTGCCGCACAATATCGGATTTTACTTAACGAAGCACGAACTCTACTTTATGAAATACAATCGCGACTCAAACTCATGCGAGAAAAAATTGAAAAAATTAACGACCGGCGGAAGATCTATGACGCGGGTGATGTGATTGCACGTTTTTTGTAGCGCAATCTCTGTGGCGCAATCTTTTTGTGTGCTGACGCACTCCTCGAGACACCTGGAAGATCGTATTCAATAAAACTGAATAATTTTACAAAACTTTGAATGTTCAGAGCGTATATTCAATACTTTAAGCATCTACCAGAGTATTGGAGTTTGATTAATCAAAATTTTCTCCGACGAAAATCATCGACCAATCAATAATCTAATCAATTAATCAATTAATATATATATATATTAGGAGAGAACTTCTTGAAAATTTATTTACCAAATTTATATAGAATATGTATTACTAAATTATTCCTTGAAAAAACGATTTTCCAAATGTTTCAAGTTTTTTATTGGACGGCACATACACATACTACAACTACAGCAAAGTAAATCGCATTGATTTATAAGCATGCACTACATCGAAAGACTTCGTCTTTCTTTTATCAATGTCTTTTGTTTTGACTCACCGAACCGTCGATCCGGGCAGCCACGTTCTGCTTTCGTTTCTAGAACAAAAAATGCCATTTCGCCGATTAGATTCATGCATTAATGTCGATTTGAATGAAGAAATTTGAAAGATTAAAAAAAAAAATAAATATTTTTCATGCTGGGAGAATTTTTCGGAGTGCATTCACACTAAAATATTCCACTTTCTTTTTTCTTGACGTTGCAAATAAATCTTACAACAAATCAACATTTTTCAAATGGCGATGTTATCCAGAAAAATTTTCCCCGCATGTAATTACAATTTAACGCGATCTTTTGATTCAATTCAAATTATCTCAAATTTGAGCAACAATATTATCAGTCTTGTCGGATTTCTTATTATGAATGTTAATTAGTGATACTCATTTTCGAGCAGACCCCGCTCAGCCCGAGCCGGATCCTCCGGCACAGCAGCCCCTTAGAGTCAGCTAGTCGCTTGCTTCGTCTCTGCAACAGAAAGTATATTTAATGTAATATTAATTAGTTACACACGACAGTGGAGGCATTAAAGAACTCGATTTCAGCGAATTTCTTTTTGTCAGATTTCTAATTAATATAAATGTGATCAATTAATCAATCAATCAGTTAATCAATTTCTAATTAATATAATTTGTAAATCAGTGAAGCTCACCTTCGCACCGACTCTGCCAGGCCCGAGCCGGATCCTCCGGCGCAGCATCCCTTTAGAGTTGAGTGCTCATTTCTGCAACAGAAAGCAAATTTAATTTAGTATAATTAATTATACAACAATGGAGGCATTTGATCATTATTATTTCCTTATTATTCGATCATTATTATCCGCTCGTGGTTATTATCATACGATGGTCGCTCAGGCATTATTATAATTATTATAAAAAAGTAATAATATTCGAATAATAAATAGTAGTAATAATAATATCTGCTCGATAAACGTCAAATACAAAACGTGATAATATCCGCGAGTAGATAATAACTGAATAACGATGATCAAATAATCGGTAATAACAATGAATAACAATAACTGGACAACGGCGAGATAAATGAACAAAGACGAGGTAAAGAAATCGTAACGGCACGCCCGAGTTGCTTTTCTATGCGTAATAGCAACAATTAAATAATAACCGAATAAAGAAGTAATAATATTCGAATAATTATATAAATGGATGATGATAATATTTTATCGGCATTGAGGAACTCGATTGCGACGTTTCTCTATCTAACAAGTAAAAAAGTAAATAAAACGCGGTAATTACCTGTCGCAGTAAAGCCCACAACACCTACTCGCGTGAAGAGTACGCGTCTTAATATGTCTTAATTATCGCCTCAATTGTCGCGAAGTCAAAACGCGGTATCAAAAATCGGTACGGAATAATCTAAAAAATAACGCGGCAGCTTCCGATGTGTTCGTCTCGACGGTTGAGAGTGTTGTGACATGACGCTCGAGCACGTGCACACGCACGCGTGTTTACATGACCCTGCCGCGCGCTCCCCCAAGCGTCGCTCAGTCAGCGGCACAAGCGGGCCGTTACGAGGGTCCGTTTACCTAGCCTTTGTGAAGCCTAGAGTTTTTGTTAGAGCCGTTGCCCACATATTGTTATTACCGATTATTCGATCATCATTATTTCGTTATTATCCACTCGCGGATAATGGCTTGGTTTACATCGTGCACTTGATACGCGTATTAAATAGTAACTTTCTATTAGATAATCTTAATATCGACGGTGTATATAAATAATGGTATATTAAGCTGCTATAATACTGATCAAGAAGACTTATTGTATCGATTGAATGCGTCATCGTTGATATGCATTGTCAATATTAAGATTATTTAATAGAAAGTTACTATATAATACGCGTATCAAGTACACGATGTAAACCAAGCCATTGTCACACGATTGTCGAACAGATATTATTATCACTATTATTTAATATTCTAGTATTATTACTTCTTTATTCAATTATTATTTAATTTATTCGGTTATTATTTAATTATTGCTATTACGCATAAGAAAGCAACTCGGGCGTACCATTACAATTTCTTTACCTCGATTTTAATCAGTTATTATTGCCGTTACCCAATTATTGTTATTCATTGTTATTGCCGATGATTCGATCATCGTTCAGTTATTATCCGCCCGCGGCTATTATTACACGATTGTCGAACAGATATTATTATAATTGTTCTAAAAAAGTAATAATATTCAAATAATAAATGGTAGTGATGATAATACCTGATCGACAATCGTGTGATATATATATATATATATATATATATATATATATATATATATATATATATATATA